TGCTGAACTCCGAGTACTTCAGCGAGGGGAGGCGCCGAGAGATATTCAACCACTACCAGCTGAGGAAGCTCACCCTGGAGCAAATTCGAATCATGTTAGAGGAGGAAATGAAAAAATGGGCCCCCATCAAGTTCCCAGCCATGAGAGGCAGTGTCAGCGCTTACCACCTGATGGAAACAGGTGTCATTGACAAGGCCTTGTTTGAGAAGGTGTTGGAGGGGTCTGTCACACCAGAGGAAGTCCTGCACATGGACTCTGTCAGAAAGTACCTCTATGGTTCTGGCAGCATCGGGGGGATTGTACTCCAGCCATCAAACCAGCGGATAAGCATTTATGAGGCCATGAAGAAAAATATCATGGTACCAGGAGTAGCCCTCCCACTGCTAGAGGCCCAGGCTGCCACAGGCTTCATCATTGACCCAGTGAGCAACCAGAAACTCTGTGTGGATGATGCCATCAAGGAGGGAGTCATTGGGCCAGAAGTCCATGAGAAGCTGCAGCATGCAGAAGGGGCTGTAACAGGCTATAAAGATCCTTTCACAGGCAAGAAGATACCCCTCTTCCAGGCAATGAAGAAGGGTCTGATTGCTGACAAACAGGCCATGCAGTTGATGGAGGTGCAGGTGGCTACAGGAGGCATCATTGACCCAACATGTGGCCATTATATCCCCATAGAATCTGCCCAGAAACGAGGGTGCCTGGATGAGGACACAAGCAAGGCCCTTTCTAAGCCCAGTGACAACAACAGAGCCTTCTGCGTCCCAGGCAGCAAAGAGACCATGACCTATGCTGAGCTAATCAAGCGCTGCCAGAAGGATGAGATCTCTGGCTTCCACTTGCTGCCTCTGCCACAGACAGCTGCTCCTGCCTACACTGACGAACAAATCCAACAGATTTTTAAGGAAACTGGGGTGAAGGAAAAAGGAGTCTCCCTGTGGGAGCTAATCCACTCTGGGTATTTCACTGAGGAGCAGAGGAGTGATTTCGTGGAGAGGTTCTGGTCTGAGGAAATGTCGCTGCAGCAGCTGGTTGCTCTTGTGCTCAGACTGGTTGGGGAGATGGAAATGAAAGCCTGTACCCACATCACCTTGGAAGGCTTGCAGGGCAGTGTCCCTGCAGTCTGGCTGCTGGATGCTGGCATCATTACTGAGAAGACGTTTGAAGAACTGGCTCAGGGCATAAGAACTCCCAAGGAAGTGGCTGCAATGGAGAGTGTGAAGAGGTACTTGCAGGGCACAGGCAGCATTGCTGGGGTATTCATAGAGGCATCCAAAAAGAAGATGAGCTTCTACAGCGCCATGAAAAACAATCTCCTCCTCCCTGGGGCTGCTTTGAGGCTGCTAGAAGCTCAGGCAGCCACAGGATACCTAACTGACCCAGCAACAAACCAGAGGCTCAGCGTGAGGGATGCTGTCAAAGCAGCTGTTGTTGGTGAAGAACTCACTGAGAAACTCCTTCTAGCTGAGAGGGCAGTGACTGGCTACACAGACCCCTACACAGGGAGCTCCATCTCGCTATGCCAAGCACTCAGAAAAGAGCTGATCCCCCTGGAAGATGCTGTTCCCTTGCTAGAGGCCCAGCTGGCCACAGGAGGGGTCGTTGATCCCATTCACCACCATCACCTTCCACTCCAGGCTGCATGCAGATATGGCTTCTACGATGAGGACCTGAACCAAACCCTCTCTCAGCTGAATGACAGCACCAAAATCTTTTTTGATCCAAACACAAAGGAGAACGTGACCTACCAGCAGCTGAAGGACAGGTGCATTCATGAGGCTGAGTCAGGTCTCTGGCTCCTTCCTCTGTCAGAAAACGCGATGTTCTGTGTGGATGAACAAACCATGGAGGTGCTGAAATCTGTGACTGTTTGTGTCAACATAGGGCGGTTCAAAGGACAGACAGTGTCAGTCTGGGACCTTCTCAACTCTGAATACCTCTCAGACAGCAAGAGAAGAGAGCTAGTGCAGAAGTATAAAGATGAGAATACTGAAGTGCTACATGAGATCATAACAATTGTCACCACAATCATTAAAGAGACTGAGACACAAGGCAAGAAATTTGCATTCAAGGGCCTGCGGAAAAGAGTATCTGCCAGTGACCTCTTCCAGTCTCAACTGATAGACAAAAAAACCTTCGATGAGCTCAACCAGGGGAAGAAAACAGTCAAAGAAGTCACTGAAATGGAGTCTGTCCGCAGGTACCTGGAGGGCAGCAACTTCATAGCAGGGGTCCTTATCCAGCCAAGCAATGAGAAGATGAGCATCTACCAGGCCATGAGGAAGGGGATCCTGAGGCCAGGGACAGCACTGGTGCTGCTGGAGGCACAGGCTGCCACTGGCTACATCATTGACCCAGAGAAAAACAAGAAGTTTTCAGTGGAGGAAGCATTAACTGCAGGTCTAATTGGAGGGGAGATTTTTGAAAAGCTACTCTGTGCAGAAAGAGCTGTGACGGGCTACACTGACCCCTACACAAAAGCCCCAATGTCCCTATTTGAAGCTATGAACCAAGGACTGATTGTGAAGAGCCACGGCATCCGCCTGCTCGAGGCCCAGATCGCCACCGGTGGCATCATTGACCCTGTGCACAGCCACCGTATCCCTGTGGAGGTGGCCTACCAGCGTGGCTACTTCAATGAGGAGATGAACCAGATCCTCTCCGACCCCACTGATGACACCAAGGGCTTCTTCGACCCCAACACCCACGAGAACCTCACCTACATGCAGCTCCTGGAGAGATGTGTCCAAGATTCAGAGACTGGGTTGTACATGCTACAAGTTGTGCAGGAAGGAGGAAAGTACTTCTACATCGATGAGTTTACAAAACAGGTTTTGCGCTCAAAGCCCCTTGAAGTGAAAGTTGGAAAGTTTAAGGACCAAGCAGTTTCCATCTGGGAAATTCTCTGCTCTCATTACATCTCTGAGCAGAAAAGGAAAGAACTAGTGATGCAGTACAAATGCAAAACCCTCACACTGGAAGAGCTTATAGCCCTCATCCTCAAAATAATTGAGGATACAGAGCAAAGAGCTGAAGCCCTCAAGGTTAAAGGACTCCGGGGAGATGTGTCAATATCAGAATTGTTTAACTCTGAGATAATTGACAAGAAAATTCTAGATCAGCTGCAGGATGGGACTCTCACGCTTGCCAGCCTCACAAAGAGGGACACCATCAAAAGGTACTTGGATGGCACTGGATGCATTGCCGGGGTTCTGCTCCCATCAAGGAAAGAGAAGATGAGCATCTACCAGGCCCTGAAGAAGGGCCTCCTCATAGAGCAATGTGCACTGGGGCTGCTGGAGGCACAGGCTGCCACTGGTTTTCTCATTGACCCACTGAAAAATAAGAAGCTCTCCGTGGATGAGGCTGTCTCGTCCGGGCTGGTGGGCAGCGAGCTGCACGAGAAGCTCCTGTCAGCAGAGAAAGCTGTGACAGGATACACAGATCCTCATGCAGGAAATAAAATATCCCTCTTCCAGGCCATAAGGCAAAAGATAACAGTCAAGGAGCACGGCATCCGCCTGCTCGAGGCCCAGATTGCCACTGGTGGCATCATTGACCCTTTGCACAGCCACCGCCTCCCTGTGAAGGTGGCCTACCGGCGCGGCTACTTGGATGATGATATGTTTCTCCTACTTTCTGATCCAGATCATGGTAGCAAAGGTTTTATAGATCCAAACACTCATGAGAAAATCAGTTACAGTCAGCTCCTACAGCGATGTTCCAAAGACACAGATACTGGATTGAACCTGCTGCAGGTCATAGAAAAAGAAGGTGACTATTTCTACATTAATGAGCAAACAAAAAATGCCCTATTATCTACAAAGGTACAAGTGCCTGTTGGAAAATACAAAGGACAAGTATTATCATTGTGGGAACTTCTCTGTTCTGAGTACATCACAGAAGAGAAAAGAAAAGAACTGGTGAAAAAATATAAAGAGGAATCTCATCACATTATACAAGGAATTATTGATACAATACTAAATATCATTAAAGAAAAAGAAGAGGACAGAAGTGATGTTTGGTTCCAAGGAATCAGACAAAAAATAACAGCATCAGAACTTCTCAGTGCTCAGATAATTACAGAAGAAACAATGGAAAAACTCCATGAAGGAAGAGAGACAGCAGAAGAAATAGCAGAAATGGATAGTGTGAGACGATACCTTGAGGGAACGGGAAGCATAGCTGGCGTGCTGGTGCCCTCCAAGGCTGACCCTGCCAAGATGGAGAAGATGAGCATCTACCAGGCTATGTGGAAGGGCATCCTGAGACCAGGCACAGCACTGGTGCTGCTGGAGGCGCAGGCTGCCACCGGCTTCGTTGTCGACCCACTCACCAACAAGAAGCTCTCCGTGGACGAGGCCGTCTCGTCCGGGCTGGTGGGCAGCGAGCTGCAAAAGAAACTTCTTTGTGCAGAGAGGGCTGTGACCGGCTACACCGACCCCTGCACAGGACAAAAGATGTCATTGTTCCAGGCCATGAAGAAGGAGCTCATTGTCAAGGAGCACGGCATCCGCCTGCTCGAGGCCCAGATCGCCACCGGCGGCATC